GGTTTAGGGTTTAGGGGGGGGCTTTCGAATTGCCAAGGCACCACGACAGCTCCCTCAATGCAGGCCACACCCAGGATGAGGGCATGTAGTTTGCCCCCGTCGACCAGGAACCAAACCTGATAAGGACCCTTAGCGGGTAAGGGAGAGGGTATGGTGGGCTAATGTCCCCTACCTGATGTGGGTCTAGTATCAAGCCCATTTGAGGAAATATAAAAATATAGTCCTCGTATGAAAGTCTCGAAACTTGCCAGTTCGGTGCCCATCCAGTTCACCGGCTCTTTCGTGACAGATATCCACAGCCACAGCGTGGCTGCATGAGTAACGCGAGAAGTTTAGATGAAAGAGCGCAAGTGTTAGATCGGTAGACATGGAAACATCATTGAGTCATCTGTCACGTGGTCGACTTGGCGTCGATGGCTTGATCGTGGGGTGCATTGCACTCTGCTCTTGAATTAGGGCGACGGCTCTTCAAAGATGCATGCAACACCTGTGAGAGGAATTCGGAATGCCAGCCGTGTCGACAAGGGAAGCACTACAATCACTACGACAGCTGTTTCAGCTGCGACTGTACTGTTGCTGCTATGATATCTACGATGAAACTGCGTCGACAGCAACCACTACTGCTAGTATGACGGTCTAGCAGCATCGTCATCCTAGCAGAGCCGCAACAACGACCATATTTTCATGTCCCAGGATGCGCACCCACCACCCTGCCCAAGGCACATACAGGACGGTAGCGGTGATCAGCGACAGCCCAAAGAGCAGCAGAAGCACGTCGAGAACTCGAGAACCTGATAGGACACCGTCACAAGCTCCAAGCGAATCGGCAGCCTTTTCCGAATATCCTACTCTAAGATAGAGTTTAGGGCTTAGTGTCTTCTTGCGTGTCTGTCGGAGGGACTTGGCCTTCAGTCGATTTGAGATTGCCATCGGAGGTAACAGGGTGAATCTGACGTCATGCCCAGGTCATGCTACGTCAACTTCGCCTCTCTGTGGTCTTGCTGCAACGACGACCTGAGATGTGCATGTGTGACGACACAGCAACACCATGTTCCCATTACCGCCCGCACCCTCATTCCGAAAGCATCCAGAGACTGAATCTGCCATCATCGGCGATTTCTCAGGCGCCCCACCGAGAGGTTTCTGGAAGGCTTTCTCCAACGTCGCCAGGTGAGACTTGATCACAACGAAGCCCATGAGCTTGTTACACCAGAAAAAGAGATGGCCTCGGAATTCCAGGACTACAGCCCTGCATGCCCTTGGTATCCCTTGGCCCAGAACCTCAGACGGCCTTGGGAGGCATGTGCCCGTGGACCGGATACCAAACACCACAACATGATTGCTGAGTCATAATTAAAACTGATATGCAAGGTGTCCTGAACACCACAGCGTGCCTTTCTGAAGCTTTACCGGGTGGTACGACCCTGGCAACGTGTGAAGTGTGACCAACTGACTGAGACGCTTCATAACGAAACCCTCCAAACTACAGGTCCGTAACCCCAATCGAGCACGATGATCCACAGTGACTGTGCCCTTGGAAACACACCGCAAAGCATCCTGCACTCTGAAGAATCTTACGCTCCTCAAACAATCTCCCTCAACCCAAAACCCTAAACCCTTTTTGTGCATATAGGCTCTAAATCCTCAACTAAACCCTTTTTGTGCATATAGGCTCTAAATCCTAAACCCTAAACCCTTTTCTGTGCATATAGGCTCTAAATCCTGAACCCTATAAACCCCAAACCCTACACCCGCGAAGCAGGCGAAGCGAAACCCTCCCACTGCCTCTACAATAAATGGGTAGTTCTCTAGATTAGGGTCCCTTTTAGGGTCCTTTTGATCAAGGCAAAGGTGCCGTGCTATATTGGGGACCTGAAAGGGGACCCTAATTTAGAGAACTCCCCAAATACATGCCAGCGGGTTGTTTCACCAAAGGTTTTCGGGGACAGGAGCCGATAACTCTAACCTTAACTCCAGGGGCCTGTGACTGTGCATGGTTTAAGATTGGGAGCTGACGGCCGAAGGTCCCTTTAAACTCTAAGTGACAGATCCTCTGAAATCCCACGTTGCGAGTGTTTTGGGGAGGCCTCGGCACTTCATTAACTGCAGGGCCCTTCATCATCAGAATAGAGTTGTGGCGGTTGGCTATTCTTAGATATACACAAATGGGTCCAAGAAAATAGTATCAAGCGTTGGCTTCCGTTCTATGTATTCCGTATCCAGCTGGAAGTGGGAGGCCGGGTTGCCAATCACAGTAACCCAGGTGAAGATCGTCAACTCTAGCAGCCTTGCGGCTGTAGAGCTTTAGGGTGCAGGGGTTTAGGATCTAGGGCAGCCTGAAATCCAGTATAGTTCAGGGAGTACAGGGTTCGGGTTTCTGAAGCTTGTCATGTAGATGTTTAGGGCTTAGGGCAGAGATCTGGGTGCGAAGTCAACGAGGTTCTGCGTCCCCACGAGTTCGCCCATGACGAGTACTATTAACGTTACCATGGCTCGCATTATCGTGGTGGCTACTTCTACAACTGCCACTGCTACTATCACTGGCACTTTGCGCTCTACCTCTACAACTACCACTGCCGCGACCATGACGATGACCATGATCACGATCACGGCCACGACCACCACCACCACAACAACAACAGCAACAACAACAACAACTACTACTACTACTGCTGCTGCAAATACTACTGCTGCTAGTACTACTAGTACTAGCACTACTAGTACTACAAGTACTACTAGTTTTAATAGTACTAGTACTAGTACTAGTACTAGTACTACTAGTACACAAGTACTACTACTTCTGCTACTACTACTACTACTACTACTACTACTCCTACTACTCCTGCTACTCCTGCTGCTACTACTACTACTACTACTACTAGTACTACTAGTACTACTACTACTACTACTACTAA